ATTAAGTGACGAGGGGAAAGGGGAAGGAGGATATTTTTCACCATACAGGTTGAACACTCGAAATCCAAAAATCTGAAATCCAAAACACTACAATATCCAAAATTTTGTGTGCCGACATGATGCTCAAAGGAAATGCTCATTGGGCATTTCAGGTTTTGGACTTTCAGATTTAGCATAAGTATAATGCAAATATCCCCAAATGTGAAAAAGTCCAAAATCCAAAACACTTCTGGTCCCAAGCAGTTCAAAGGGATATTCAACCTGTATACTCATAGTGTGTCTCTGAATTCTGAACCACATAACTATATTCATTTCTTCAGAAAGTAAACAATTAATAAATGTGCACTTTTAATCAAAAATGCTTCTTATTCCAGTTTAAGAGTGTATTTAATATAATTTGGATAATCACTCCTCTCAGAAACTACTAATTTTTATTATATTAGTTTTTCTTACTGCTATAATAGACTATTAATTTTTCTTTTTCTTTTTTTTTCTTTTTTCTTTTTTTTTGAGACGGAGTCTCGCTCTGTTGCCCAGGCTGGAGTGCAGTGGCCGGATCTCAGCTCACTGCAAGCTCCGCCTCCCGGGTTTACGCCATTCTCCTGCCTCAGCCTCCCGAGTAACTGGGACTACAGGCGCCCGCTACCTCGCTCGGCTAGTCTTTTTGTATTTTTTAGTAGAGACGGGGTTTCACTGTGTTAGCCAGGATGGTCTCAATCTTCTGACTTTGTGATCTGCCCGTCTCGGCCTCCCAAAGTGCTGGGATTACAGGCTTGAGCCACCGCGTCCGGCCAACTATTAATTTTTCTTTGTTACACTGACTTGCATTCTTGGGAATAAATACTATTTGGACACAATGTATAATTCTTCTATTTAATAGTATGCAGTTTTCCTGCTAAAGAAATAATTTTAGGGCTAGAAAAGAATATCTAGTATCTCTGTAGATTAAAAAAAAAAAACACCCAACACACAGAAGAGACAAAACGCAAAACAAACAAAAACCATTAAGGCCAATAAAGCCTCGATGATTTGTTTAAGGCACATTGCTTGTTAATGGGAGAGTTAAAAAGGAAAAAAAAGTCAGGTTTCACAATCCCTTGGTTCAACTGATTGTTGGCTAAGATTTTAGTTAGTATGTAATTTTATACCAATACTAACAAGCAATATTTGACAAACATCTTCCCCTTTTTTTTATTTTCTGAGACACAGTCTCACTCTGTCACTCAGGCTGGAGTGCAGTGGCGCAATCTCACCTCACTGTAACCTCCGCCTCCCAGGCTCAAGTGATTCTTCTGCCTCAGTCTCCCATGTAGCTGGGACTACAGGCACAGGCCACCACACCCAGCTAATTTTGTTTGTATTTTTAGTAGAGACAGAGTTTCACCACATTGGCCAGGCTGGTCTCAAATTCCCGACCTCGTGATCCTCCCGCCTTGGCCTCCCAAACTGCTGGGATCACAGGCGTGAACCACTGTGCACGGCCCATCTTGCTTTTTAGAGTCAGGTTTTTGGATGATAACCAATTTATTCCATGAAATACGCTTAGGTAGTAGGAGTCCTTGTTCTAAGTTTTAAAAAATAACTGAATGCAACATACAGGTTTTAATGTACTTCAACTTTAAAAAATTCTGTGACCCCATTAGGGAGTCAGTTCTTTTTTTTTTTTTTTTTTTAACATCTATTATTTTATCCTAATATTATTTCAGTGCTTTTATGTTGACCTCATTTGGGCAGTTTTTTGTTTTCATATTTTTTGAGATAGAGTCTTGCTCTGTTGCTCAGGCTGGAGTGCAATGGTGTGATCTCAGCTCACTGCAACCTCTGCCTCCCAGGTTCAAGTGATTCTCATGCCTCAGCTACCCAAGTAGCCAAGCAGCTGGGATTACAGGCATGTGCCACCATGCGCGGCTAATTTTTCTATTTTTAGTAGAGACGAAGTTTCACCATGTTGGTCAGGCTGGTCTCAGACTCCTGGCCTCAAGTGATCCACCCTTCTTGGTCTTCCAAAGTGCTGGGATTATAGGCACGTGCCACTGCGCCAGGCCAGTGCAGTTATTTTTTGTAGTCAGCTATTTCAGATATATTGGTAGTATAACTATGTATATATCATCCCTTTAAAACAATGTTTTCTATTTCTATCTTCTTTATATCAATTAGGCCAACTATTTATTAATTTTTATTATCTTTTCAAAGATCAGCTGGGTCCAGTGGTTCACACCTGTAACCCAGCAATTTGGGAGGCCAAAGTGGGAAGACTGCCTAAGCTGAGACGTTCGAGACCAGCCTGGAAAACATGGTGAGACTTCATCTCTAAAAAATTCAAAAAATTAGCCAGATGTGGTGATGCATGCCTGTAGGCCCCATTACTCAGGAGGCTGAGGTAGGAGGATGGGTTGAGCCTGGGAGATGGAGGCTGCAGTGAGCTGTGATCACTCCACTGCACTCCAGTTTAAGAGCAAGACCTTGTCTCAAAAAAAAACAAAAACAAAGATCAAACTTTTTAGTTCCTATTATTTTTACGTTTTACTTATCTGATCTTACCAAATCCAATGTACACTAAATATTTAATAAATGTCTATTAAATTATAAAGTTAGAGGCCGGGCACAGTGGTTCACACCTGTAATCCCAGCACTTTGGGAGGCCAAGGCAGGCAGATCACAAGGTCAGGAGATCAAGACCATCTTGGCCAACATGGTAAAACCCTGTCTCTACCAAAACTACAAAAATTAGTTGGGTGTGTGCCTGTAATCCCAGCTACTCGAGAGGCTGAGTAAGGCAGAAGAATCGCTTGAAGCAGGGAGTCGGAGGTTGCGGTGAGCTGAGATCGTGCCACTGCACTCCAGCCTGGCAACAGAACAAGACTCTGTCTCAAAAATAAATAAATAAATAATTTTTTAAAAATTATAAAGCTGGTCTTTTTGTATTGTTAATATAAATCTCCAAGGTCCATTTTCTCTTATAACTGTGGCCCAATTTTTTTTTCTCTTTTAAAAAATTTTCCTTATTTTTTATAATATGGAATGCTTCACCAATTTGCATGTCATCCTTACACAGTGGCAATGCTAATCTTTTCTGCATTGGTCCACTTTTAGAATATATGCTGCTGAATGAAGCAAGCACTCTATCCCAATTTTTAAAATACATTATCACTATATTTCCTTAACTTTCAAATAAACTCATATTATGTACACATTTCTATAGCCTGCTACATACAGTTAACAGTAGTATAAAGCACATTCTCACATTTGAATTCTACAACCTAATATCACTTTTCAGATGGTAGATTCATGACTCAAACCCAGATTTCCTGATGCTAGATCTTGAGCTTTTTTTCTTTTTTTGAGACAGGGTCTCACTCTGTTGCCCAGGCTGAAGCGCAGTGGCACGATCTTGGCTCATTGCAACCTCTGCCTCCTGGGTTCAAGCGATTCTCCCACTTCAACCTCCCAAGTAGCTGGGAGTACAGGCACATGCCACCAGGCCCAGCTAATTTTTTGTATTTTTAGTAGAGACAGGGTTTCATCATGTTGACCACGTTGGTCTCAAATTCCTGGCCTCAAGTATCCACCCACCTCGGCCTCCCAAAGTGCTGGGATTACAGGTGTGAGCCACTGCGCCCCACCTTGAGCTCTTTCTATTATGCTGACTCTCAATGTCCAACCTGACTCAGGTTTTAAGAAAGTATTTAAAAATTATCTCCAAGATGCATCTGTTTTAGATGGGTTCATCTTTATGTATACTTTTATGTATTAGTGAATACAATGTATGAAATTTTTAATTATCTTACAAAACTATATATTCAAAATTTCAATTTATTTGTTCCAAGTTATATTTAGCTTTTAAACTTTTATCTTAAGAAAACAAATTTTGTTGTAAGCATTTATTTATTTATTATTTACTTATTTATTTCTTTTGAGACAGAGTGTCACTCTGTAGCCCAGGCTGGAGTGCAGTGGCGCGATCTCAGCTCACTGCAAGCTCCACCTCCCAGGTTCATGCCATTCTCCTGCCTCAGCCTCCCGAAGCTGGGACTACAGGCGCCCGCCACGATGCCTGGCAAATTTTTGGTATTTTTAGTAGAGACGGGGTTTCACCGTGTTAGCCAGGATGGTCTCAATCTCCTGACCTCGTGATCTGACCGCCTTGGCCTCCTAAAGTGCTGGGATTACAGGCGTGAGCCACCATGCCCGGCCTATTTATTTTTAATTTATTGTTGTTTTGAGACGGAGTCTCACTCTGTTGCCCAGGCTGGAGTACAGTGGCACGATCTCGGCTCACTGCAACCTCCACATCCCAGGTTCAAACGATTCTCCTGCTTCAGCCACCTGAGTAGCTGGGACTACAGGTGCACACCACCACGCCTGGATAATTTTTGTATTTTTAGTAGAGATAGGCTTTCACCATATTGGCCAGGTTGGTCTCAAACTCCTGACCTCAACTGATCCGCCCGCCTTGGCCTCACAAAGTGCTGGGATTATAGGCATAAGCTACCATACCTGGCCTGTTGTTGTAAGCATTTAAAGTTTACATTTTATAGCTATAGAATTTTCTTTTCCACAATTGTTGTTACTTAAGTTTTCAATGTAGCATCTATTTGAGTGTTTTCTACCTATGGGCTTATTCAAGTACTTAAAAGAAGCTCATCTGGAATCTCACATATAAAATGATGAAATTATGCTAAATGAATAGTTCCCAAGCTAGGGTCCCTACACATCTCAGTTTTCATGAAGGTAATAAAAACAATCTGAAAGCAGATTGTGGGCCACCATGTCCGGCCAAAAGTATAAGTTTGTAAATGAAAACCAAGGGCAGTGCAAGGGCTAGATAGAAACCAATAAATCTACAAGTGCTGAGGGTTTCTCAGGAGCTCTCCCAGAGCACCACCTGGTGGACGTCTGGCAACTTTTACCAGTATCAATAAGGAGATGGACACAAGGTTACTCAAAAATCCCGTGGAAACTCTCTAAAGTTGCTGCCATCATTAGCTGACTACACATACCTGGATGAGGTCCAAGATTCCAAGTTCACTCTCTGAGGAATCCACACAAAATACAAAGTAGAGGGTAGCATAGTGTCGGTAGATCAGTTTGTAGTCAGAGCCACCAATCAAACTGCAGAAGATGGGAAACATTTAAATGCCCACAGCTTAATTAAACACATCAAAAAGGAACCTTGTGCCAAAGAATGAGAAAGGGCCCACTGGAAAGGAGAAGGCCAGATGCTAGAAGCAGGCCATTCTTACTAGGTGAATGGCAACCAAGTTTGGCAGAGGTACCTAAAGCCACCTTACCTTACCTTTTCTCCTGCCTATCCTCCCAGGGACCGATCATCCAAATGAGCGATATCAGAAGCACAGTAATTGAACTGCGCCCCCAGAGAGAATTGTGTCTCTCCCTGAGCAGATCATGATGAGACCAGTTACAGTTGCATCAAGTATCCACCTGACACTTGAGTACTGCCAGAAGATGCAATAATGAAGGGCACTCACAAGTGGATATATGGGGAGAAAAATGAAGCTGACAGTTTACCTTCCACCCTCCAAGAAGTTACAGATGTTGTCATCCCGCTTGAGGACTAAATGGAAAGTCTCTCGAACAATCTGCTGTTGAATTTCTTCTGGCTATGGAACAAAAAGATAAGTGAATCAGTGGGCAGGCCTGAAAAACTACATCCCATCCATGGGGATGGACAGGGAAGAAGTGTTTCTAAGCTGGGAACATCTAAACATTTAGTACTTGTTTCTAGAAATGATAAAAATGATGAGGAAAAAATAAGAGTGAATCTATGAAAAATGGATGACAAGGCTCTGATACAGGAATTAAGATAGGGTATATTTACCTAAATATCTAAGTCACTAACCATTACTGTCCTATAGGTAAGCTGATATTTAAACAAGAAAAGGAACATTGATAAACTCTCATACAAAGTCAGAGAATAACTAGAAGGCCTGATCCTGAAATATTTTGTCTTCCCCTGGAAAACATCTGTGACAAGTATATAATAAATCTCAACAGGTCTAACATTTTAAGAAGGTCAAGATGTGGGCCAGGTACGGTGGCTCACGCCTGAAATCCCAGCACTTTGGGAGGCCGAGGGGAGTGGATTACAAGGTCAGGAGTTCGAGACCAGCCTGACCAACATGGAGAAACCCCATCTCTACTAAAAATACAAAATTAGCCGGGCGTGGTGGCACATGCCTGTAATCCCAGCTACTTGGGAGGCTGAGGCAGGAGAATTGCTTGAACCCAGGAAACAGAGGTTACAGTGAGCTGAGATCACGCCACTGCACTCCAGCCTGAGCGAAAGAGTGAGACTCTATCTCAAAAAAAAAAAAAAAAGAAGGTCAAGAAGTAATCATGTAAATGTTTTAAAAAGTTGTATTGGCAAATATAGCTGCCATCTTTTGTACTGGTAATATAGATACTACATATAAGATGCTGTGTTACTCATCAACAAAGTATTATTGAGAAAAATAGATCACAGATTAAAATTTTGAACAATCAGAGAGCTACAAATAAAATGTTTTATTATTTTTTTTTTAGACTGAGTCTTGTTCTGTTGCCCAGGCAGTGGTGCGATTACAGCTCATTGCAACCTCCAACCCCGGGTTTAAGCGATTCTCCTGCCTCAGCCTCCCCAGTGGCTGAGATTACAGGCATGCGCCACCATGCCCCACTAATTTTTGTATTTATAGTAGAGATGGGGTTTCACCATGTTGGTCAGGCTGATCTTGAACTCCTAACCTCATGGTGATCCACATGCCTTGGCCTCCCAAAGTGCTGGGATTACAGGCGTGAGCCACCATGTCTGTCCTTATTTTTTCACTTACTATGTGCATAACAAAGCTCAACTCTGATGAAATCACTTTGATAACTCACCTTTGATTTCTAATTATACATATGAGTTTCAGAAGAAGTATGGTTAAAAAGGGTAACGAGAGGGAGAAACCAGCAATTAAGACAGAAAATAATTTAAAGCTCTAGACCATTGCTTCTCAAATCTTAATTTGCAATGAATCAGCTGTGAATGTTGTTAAAATACAAATTCGGATTTAGCAGGTATAGGTTAAATCCTGAGATGCAAGTCTAGTAAGCACCCAGGCAATACCATTTCTGTTGGTCTGGGGACCACACTTTGAGTAACAAAGCATAAGAAAACCTTAAATTGGACTTGCCCCAAGAGTTAGAAAATAGGTTCAAGTAATTTTAATCCCTTTTTTTCTACAGCCCTGAATTTAGCTTTGAAAGGGTTAGTTATTTAAAAGAAACAGAGAGGGGAAAAAACAGGGAAAACGTAATTGTGGGGAAATTACTTTGACTCACATGGGTATGGAATGGCTCACAGTATTTACTGAATGAATGAAAACTTGCTAATCATTGGTCACTACAAATTTGAGTAAATCAATCACTATTTTCCTCATTTCCATTTAAAGAACAAAGCTCACAGATGACAGGATGCTGTAAGGAACTAAGTCTATATACTGCAAAATACGAAACATGCTAAACATCAGCACTTTTTAAAACTGAAAACACATCTTTTGAACTAAAGCCTTTTATCTGACTCTGGGGGAAGTGGCAGCAGTGGGAAATGGTATGAAATGATGAGGCTACCTAATTTCTAGTTCAGTAAAAAGGTAAACTACCAATTGCTTACATGCCTCAGTGATTTTAATAACCCCTCATATCATTTTAGTACTCTGTAGTTTTCAAGGTACTTTCATCTATGAGCTCATGAGGTCTTATAAAAATCCTATGATCTCCAAAGATACATGAATGGTCAATAAGCACATGAAAAGATGCTCAACATCATTAGTCATTTTGGAAATTAAAATCAAAACCACAATAAGCCAGGTGCAGTGGCTCACACCTGTAATCCCAGCACTTTGGGAGGCCAAGACGGGCAGATTACTTGAGGTCAGCAGTTCAAGACCAGCCTGGCCAATATAGCAAAACCCCATCTCTACTAAAAATACAAAAATTAGCCAGGCATGGTGGCGGGCACCTGTAATCCCAGCTACTTAGGAGGCTGAGGCAGGAGAATCACTTGAACCCGGGAGGCAGAGGTTGCAGTGAGCCAAGATCACGCCACTGCAGCCTGGGAGACAGAGCAAGACTCAGTCTCGGGGGGAAAAAAAAGCCACAATGAGATACCACTTTATACCCACTAAAATGTCTTTAATAAAAATAAATAAATAAATAAATAACGAATGGCAGGGATGTGAAGAAAATGGAATCCTTATACATTGCTGATGGAAATGTAAAATGGTGCAGCCACTTGGAAAGTTTGTCAAATAGTTTGCAGTTTCTCACAATGTTCACCATAGTTACCATATGATCCAGCAATTCTACTCCTAGGTATATAACCAAGAGAAATGAAGTCATAAGTCCACATAAAAACTTGCACAAGAATGTTCATAGCAGCATTAGTTAGAAGAGCCAAAAAGTAGAAACATCAGCTTATAAACAGACAATCAAAATATGGCATACCCATATAATGCAATATTATTAAGCAATAAAAGAAATGAAGATCAGATACATGCTACAACATGGATGAATCTTGAAAACATTATACTACATGAAACATGGCAGACACAAAAAAACCCACTTATTTATGATTTCATTTATATGCAACGGAATAGGCAAATTCCATCTGCCACTCTGGAGTAGGCAAATTCCATCTGCCACTCTGGAATAGTCAAATTCTATTTGCCATTCTAGAACAGGCGAATTTAGAGGGAAAGAGACTCTCTAGGGCTGGGACAGTCATGGAGAAATAGGCAATGAGTGCTAATGGGCAGAGGTTTCTTTTTGGGGTGATGAAAATGATCTAAAATTGATTGTGGTGATGGTTGTGCAGCTTCTGTGAACGTGCTAAAAAACACTGAACTGTCCCCTTTATATAGGTAAACTGGGGCCGGACACAGTGGCTCATGCCTGTAATCCCAGCACTTTGGGAGGCTGAGTCCGGTGGATTGCTTGAGCCCAGGAGTTCAAGACTAGCCTGGGCAACATAGAAAGACTCCATCTCTATAAGTAAATAACGTAAAATAAATAAGTAAATAGTATGGCATGTTAGTTTTATCTCAATAACCCTGTTAGAAAAAAACTAGGGGGGAATCTGTATACACACACATGCAAATACAAATAGTTATGTTGAATACTCATATTTTTACCTCGATGTAATCTACTTAATTAAATGTAATCTAGCTTTAAAAATCTTATGAAGGAGTAAAATTAGTTTTTCATTTCTGATTGACAAAAGACAGAATAAAAGTCTGAAAAGGGTTTATTAACTTGTCAATAGACGCAAGAGTAGAAAAGGTGGAGCTGAAGCCGGAATACGTTTTCTGACTCTTTCCCCTCTTCAGTTTCGCCAGTACCCCAATTATATAACATTTTGAAACCCCGCCATGAAGAAATAAAATACTGGAAGACAGGAAGCAAATACTGATGTTTATGTGTTTGCAAAGGAACGTGTTGGGAAAATTCAAATTTACGTAATCACTTATTGAGCCCTTATGCAGCAGCATTTATAATTTCTCATCATGTTTCCACTTTTAAACTAAAATTTTCTTCAACCCTACAGAGTGAAGGGTATCTAGTCTCTGGAAAGTCCCAGCCACACTGAAGCAAAATAATTCCAAATAAAGAACTTTTCCAGACCCTTTGGCTATAACAAAAACTTTCAGAAACTTAATATTTCTTCCTCATGAAACTGTGGTCAACAACCAAAAAGATGACAGAACGTGACTTCAATCATTCAAGTTCTCAACGAGGCACACTCCCCACTGTCGCTTCTATCTCGTTCCCAGAGACCCAAGGGAAAATGTCACAAAATGGCACAGAAATGCCAGGATCCAGAAAAGGGTCCGAAAGAGCGGGGGCAGTAGGGCGGGAGACAGAATGCCTGGCACCGGCCTGCGCCCAGGTTAAGTGCTTAAGAAGGGTGAGGGTCATGCACGGTGCAGGAGCCCCAGGTGACCAAGGAGCGGTGCCCCCGGGCGCCCAGAGGCCAAAGAGGAGGGAAGAGATAGTGGGCACCCTCAACGGGCGTGGTGAAGCCGGGCCGCACTCACGAAACGCTGGTAGAAGCGGACTAGCCGCGGCTTTCCATGGTTGTTGAAAACCAGAATCGCCTGAATCATCTTTGCCGGCCACGGTTCTCTCAGCACCGGCTACTCCCAGAAATCGCCTCCTTCCGCCACAACACGGTCACTTCCGGTTGGTGCGCTGCTGAGAGCGGCACTCGGAAACTTGGCCCCGGCACCCAGGAGCCCTAGCATCCAAGGGTCCGGCCTCTTTGACGCCCTGGAGAAGGCGGCGGGGTCCCCCTGCGGACTGCAGGTGCGGGTGCCCAGGAGCGTGGTCACCTCGACCAGCGTCGGTTGGCCGGTCAGGATGCGAATCCGGATCTATGTCCCTCGCCAAGACCGACAGCTGGCCCCAGAAGCCGAAACTTGACCACCAGCCGGGTTGCCAACACAGAGAGGCGGCGCGAGCTTGCCTTTCTCACCGTCCGCTCCAAAACCTGTACTCCCGCCTTCCTCTTAGCGCTCGCAGAACGTTCCGCGGAGTGGAGACGCCGGTCACTCGGCCGTTCCTCGGTTAAGGAACGTTTCGT